CAAACATTTCTTGTTCTTCACAAAATTAGTAGAGCTATATTGAAAAAGAATGAGAAAAAAATATACTTAGGCCTCAGCTGCAAGAAATCATTTTCATTTAAATAAGTAAAATTAGTTGTTTGACCTTTTTCTGGCAACTTGGTCATATTGGTCGGAAGACTTAGAGTAACGCACCTATTCCGGAGTCCATTGTATGCATGATAATTTCCAAAGTTGGAGCGTGGACGTGGTACATTTCCAGACGTTTCGCCAGCATCGTTGTCGGTATTTTCAGTGAGTCCTGCCATTCTTAGCACCACACAACGACTCGTCAAAGAGACAAGTGAAGCTGATACTTTGAACAAAGCTGTGCTAAACGGTTGTGGTATTTATCCTTCTGTCCTGGAATATTCAGCTATCTTATATCCTCGTATCACGCCTTCAATGTTACAATTTTCCCATGCTTATTTAAATCTAGTGTGGTGTGCCCTTTTGAGTGGCTGTCATGACAACCCTTCACACTCCAAGCTGGCGTTTACACCCCCCTTCACCCTTGTGCTGGGAATGTTGATCAGAGTCTGCCATATTTTTACGCAGACCTCATTCTCTATGACTTATCAAAGTCTCCCTCTTGTCCCGTAGAATTCGTTTGCTATCTCTCTGGTTCAAGTATTTTACTCGACCCCTGACACCCCTCTGTGCTACTAGAGGCGTTATTACCCCTCTCCTGATTGCTTTGATTAAGTTCAGTGTTGAACCACAAGGTTTTTGCGTTGGCACACATGAGACTAGGGCATAGCAAATCATAGACTTGGTATTACGGATAGAAACAGGATAGACGCGGCAAAGACTGGAGCTTGTTGGCTGACAGTAGGTTTTACCATATTCCATGCAGCAAAGGAGTGACCATGAGACTAACTCAGAGGCTTTAGCCTCGAATTAGTTACCCAGACGAAGCGGAGGAGGATGGCATTAGTTGAGTGAAATCCATAAACCAGGGAGATAACAGACGAATACTACGGGGCAAGAGAGAGACTCTGATAAAACATAGGGAAGGAGGACTTCGTAACAATATGGCATACTCTGATAAAAAGTCCCAGCACAATGGTGAAGGTAAAATGAGAACGCCAGCGTAGAGTATGGAAGTTTCGAATGAAAGCCGCTCAAAAGGGCACATAATACCACAGTTAAATAGTCAAGTAAAAATGGTGATAGTAAAATCGTGATACTAGGATAGAGGATAGTTGAATCGACAATGGCAAGAGAGATACCGCACATTTGGTCAAAGGATCGGCTTCACTTGTCTCTTTGACGAGTTGTAGTGTGGTGCTAAGACTGGTAAGACTTAGTGACGATGCCGGCGAAATGTCTGGGAATGTACCACTTCCACTGTCCGACGTTGGAAGCTATCGTGCCTACAATGGACTCCAGAATAGGTACGTTCATCCAAGTCTTAATACTATTATGACCAAGTTGCCAAAACAAGGTCAAACAATTTCGATAAAACGAAAGGACACTGCGACTTCATAAAAGACCACACAATCTTGGTCTTCAGATTATCGAAAATAATTTAAGATTATTATTTTGAATGTTATATTATATAAAAGGTATCATTGCAAATAAGGTTTTTTATTTTACATAGATAAAGTAAATCTTACTTCCTTATTTACATAAATATCTCCATTTACTAACTAGTAGATTGTTTATGTTGCGAAATTATATGTTTATTTGTTTGTCATATAGTTATATATGAAGACTTCGAAAATAGACAGATATACATCAAGTATATATAAAGCCTTGAATATACAATTAAACTTTTTTACCTGTAAATAAATTTGGAGAATAATTCCATGAATATCCAAGCGCTTCATAATCTTTCCTTATTGCTGCCATTATAGCAGAGCTAGAAATGTATTTCCACGATTTCTTCAATATTCGATTATATAAATTCCACAAAACGCTTAGTAAAATATGCTTAGCTAACACCGTTTTACAATGAATACTTTGTGTATTAACAGGCTCTATAACAATTTTTATAGGTCTGCACTTGGTTGTATATTTCCAAAGATCAGCACTACAGCATTAGGTTCATTAAATATATGGCATCAATTGGCTAACCAGGTCATTTTTATCCAGGAATCATAAATATATTAGATTAACTACTTTACAATCTTTGCCTCTAGCTGTATTTTCATTGCATGTTATCTGACTATCCAATCATATTCTAGCCATAAATTGGCCTCCTGTCTCTTGACCTTGAACATGAAAGTCTGCGAAAAGAGAAAAGCCCTTCAGGCAATACGTATTTTATTTGTTAAACCAAAGATTACACCAAAGTATAGGAAGTGTATAGAACATAACCTTATGCAGTAATAACAAGATATTATATTAAATTAAAATACGTAAATTAAACTTCTGAGCTGGTTACACAAAAGATTTATGAGTAGAAATCAAAATGCTAACAATTATCAATAAAATAGAAAATGATGGAAACTCAAGTCAAATTTAAACCTTACCACGCAGTTATCAAAGTTAATATCAACTAACGAGATTCCCATAATGAAATGATAACAATTATTAATAAAAAATTACATTTAAAGATAATTTAAGCTATTTATTTACTTTGTAATTGCTTTTCTCTAAAATGCATCAAGGACCCTTATTTTGTAAACGCTCAGAGAAGTTTCATGCTCTAATGTGAAGTTGCGATAACCAGTAATTTAAGAAATGTAGATATGTGCTATTAATATTTTTTACTTCAGCCATGC